GGGCTCTGTGCCCAGGCCTTGTCCTCCTCTTGTCCTCTGTGGCTGCTGTGTGTCCAGGCCTTGTCCTCCTCTTGGCCGCGCCCTGAACTCTGTGGCTGTGCTCTGTGTCCAGGCCTTGTCCTCCTCTTGTCCTCTGTGGCTGGGCTCTGTGGCTGGGCCTTCTTGTCCTCCTCTTGTCCTTGTCTTGGCCGCGCACCTGAACTCTGTGCTGGTCTCTGTGGCCTGGCTTACTCGGGAGGAGTGTGGCCGAACAAATAGCGATGTCAATGCCGACAAAAATTCATTGATGAAGCAGTTTGCTCTTGGGGTGAAGGTAGGGCGTAGCAAAAAATCAAATTTTGACCAAAAATTGGTCTAAACGAACCGTTTTGAAGCTGTTTGCTGTTTATGCTTGTATAATTTTTTTGGAGGGTCGGACGTGCGTTCGGAAGGAAACCAAATGTTCTAAGGGCATTTTTCGCAGATGTGCAGATGTGTTTGAAAGGATATAAATAGATTGCTACTGTATTGGTCAAAAGAAGAGATGTTGGCTGACCCTTGAAAATAGGCAGATCTAAAACAACCTACTCGAGATGTCAATCTACCATCGGCCAATAGGTGTGTTTTGCATTGTTCCACAGTATACAGAGTATAGGCCACCGTGAACTGTTCAATGGTCACTGGTGTCCCACTATACATCTTTGCGTTGAAGTCCTGGTTCCGTAGAGAAGTAATAAATGTCATGAAAAGGCCGATTCTTTATGGATACACGCACCCTGTGAGAAGGTGATTGGAGACTGACTCTTCTATGATCACGAGAAGGTATGTGGATCCCCAGGGATTGACAATACCCTAGGGCTCCAACCATATCCTCAGAAGGTGGTTAGACCCCCGAGGTGGTTGGAGCCCTAGGGATATATAGAAAACTTCATCTGGTATATATATATATATATGTTGAAAGGGAGCTACGGGAACGTACTAGCCTAATATGCGATTATAGCCTTTATAGCTGTCTTTGGGGGACGCAGGAGAGGAAGACCTTCCCCAAAAAGACGATCAACCTCATGATAAAACAACATAAAACAAGTTTGTGTTGAACAACAATCATGATGTAGGCCGATGTAGGCCCATGTTGCAGGATGTAGGCCATGCGCGATTTGTGCAGTAGTGTCTGAGAAGACCGGGGTTGCAGAAGAAGTGGGTGTGGCTAGAACTGTCTTGGAAACGCAACCTGTGTTTTTTGGAAAGTGACGTTGCACACTCTGAGGAAAAAGGCAAAATCAAACAACACATTGCTGGAGCTCGAATTTGTGGAAGTTTGACCACTACACCATTGAACATGTCTCTTTGCTTACTGATTTGTGCACCGTATGTTGCCTGGTGAGCTTTTTGCACTTTTTGAGTCATGCCTGCCTGCAAGCGATCCTGGGTCTAGTGGTACTGCCTAGCCCTGCCAAGAGACCTTGAGCTTCAAGGGAGCAGAAGTCGTTCACATGTGGACGATGGCCAATAAAGGCCAGGAGCGAGCAGCTGCTGAGCGTGCTGAGCGTGTGTTCCAAGACGCACCTGATGAACAGCCTCTTCAGTTCTTCTTCAGTAAACAGGAAGACTGAAGCCCATCAGTCTTGATAGCCCTAGCCTAGCCCATCAGTTGCAGTTGCAGTCACCCCACAGCTCGCTCTCTTTGCGTTTTTCGACCTTCAAGCATCCAACTGAACTGGTTGTCTCGAGGGTTCGAGGAGGTTCGGCCAGTGGAACCACCGTGGCCCTCCTAGCCGCTAGCCCTCCATTGGATGTTCGGACCGGAATCTCCTGGAATGTCAAGGAACCTTGTGGACGTGTGTAGCTTTGAGAGTGTGACAAACATATCATAACTTAAGCAGAGGACTTCATTTGTATCGGAAGGACGTGCACAGCCATTGCCACTGCCACTTTCGAAGCCGGAGCCACGGCACGGCGGACTGCACTGAGGTCTTTGCAATCTGCACAGGCCGGAGGGGGCGTTTGCCGCTGCACCCTGACTGCCAGAAGGGACATTCCAAAAGACGGGCCCCTACACTGTATACAGTGCCCCTAGGACCCTGTTGTGGGTGGTTCCAAGACTAGGCTGGCTTCGAGACAGCTCCCTGGTTCAGCATACCAAAAGACAACCCAACAGGTCCGAAGACCCAGTAAGGGCAACTTAACACAACACCCAGCCGCTCCCCACACTCAGATCGTTGGGTAGGTGACCGTAGGTGTGTAGGACATGACAAAAAAAACGCCGCTCCTCAGGAGTTCAGCAGATAACCTGATGATCACCTGACGGGGATTGGGGGTTGCACCCCACTACAGATGGAACAGGTGGGAAAAGATGAAGCTGTAAGATGCTGTAAGCGTTCTTTTCCACGCAAACTGAGGGAGTCAGCCAGTGATTTAGAATGATGTGTAGAATCCCTTGGAGCCTTGGATGCTACACATGTGCCCACACCAAGACCACAGTAAAGCGCAGCAAAAAGCTTCGGCAGCTACAGCAAACAACTATTCCGACAGTATTCCATCGCGTTGGAATGACTGCAGATTGATGTATGGGTGTGTATGTTCATAGGGAGGCCCCCAACCAATGGGTTGGGTTCGAACTGGGAACTCTCCCTATTTTGATACACACCAAGCTAGGCAACCCTCAAGCTTCAACGACTCGCTTTTAAAGACACGTTCACTTGATTTGTGGCTGACGCCTGGTAGACAGCACCACATGACCGGCTGATTGCCCCATTGCCCCACGCCGGTCCGCCGACCCACGCAGGTCTTCTCCCCTTTCGCTTGATCAGCTTTGCCACTCGGTTCGGGAAGGCTGAAGGCCAGTCCTTCAGATTGTGGGGCGGCACGGTGGTGGCGCCAGGAGGGTCCAGTACTTTTCGGCGAACGCAACACATCACGGGTCCATGAACAGCGACCCTGGGACCCTGGGACCCTACACGCCCACAGAAACCTCTGTTGAAGCGTCGATTGGAACGACGCACAAACGATGCTAGAACTCATCCCTTTTTGGTTATTCGCGATGGATGGGTTGTCAGTGCAGGACATGCACTCTAAGCATCTCTAAGCAAACCTGATTGAATCCAATTTAACCAATGTGTGTGTTTTACATATGGGGCCTTCCAACAATCCAACAATCCACCAAAACTGGCATTGCTCAACAAAGAAGTGTAGTTGAAGGATGTTGAAGGTAGATGACAACCACAGATTTGTGTCAGACTCCATGGGATTTCTGGTGAGTTGATACAGCAAACGTAGGACTTCCGGTCACCTCCACGGCTGAGGGTTTCATGGTCGTTTTTGTTGCACATTGCGTGATGTTTATTGTCCCAAACTGCGTGGTTTCTTTTCTGCCCTGCAGGGGTTTCTTTCCTGCCCTGCAGGTGTTGTTTTTCCTGCTGTGCAGTGGTTTCCTTTACACCTTGCGGAGGTTTCGTTTCTGCCCTGTCGGGGTTTCTTTCCTGCCCTGCAGGGGGCTTCCTGCTTTGTTTTTCGTGCTGTGCACGATGGATTCTGGCGAGTGGTGACGAACTCTGCATGATGGATTAATCATTCATAGGGTTTCCTATTCCACCTTGTCGGGGTGCAGAGGGTGGAAATGAAGCCACGTACAGCGTGAAGTAAGCAACCTTTGCGTCCGCGAACCTGTAAGCTCAGATAGCTTTAGGCTAGAACAATTTTCTTAAAAACTTTTCTTTTCAGCGAAGACCTGATTTTTTTGAACTATAATTGAAAAACGGCAAAAGCAGAGGGAAAATTATCAAAACTAGCTATTGTAAAGCTTTATCTCTAGAGAAGAAAGTACGCAAAGGGGAGCAACAGTTTTGAGGTAGCATTTGTGTCGAGCACCCTTGGCATCACCAGAGTACGAGCAGCATTGTTCATAAACTACGCACAAACACTGTGATTTACAGTGCTTTGCGCCTAGTCCTGCACCAAAGGATTTGCATCTTTCCTGCTGAGACTCTGCTGATGCTAACGATGCTGGACCAAAATTTGTTCTCACAATTTGTATCCATTTTCAACTCTTTATTTTGCAGAGGCTTTGAAGCTATAAGCTTTACAGTGGCCATTATTGATAATTTTTCATCTATTTTTGATGTTTTTTTGACGAAGCCACATGAGCCCTGGTGATGCTAGAAATACGGGTCGGCTCCATGGAGCGCGTCTCCGTATAGCAAGCTAGGCTTGATCTGGACGGCATCGCCGGATTTAAGGGTCTGACGCCCACCAGCGGGCCAGCAGGCCCGTAGGAGCAAAGGATATTCAAGGATGGCTTTGGAATGCGGTCGGTATGGGTGTTGGCACGGTGGCAGCAGCAGCAGCAGCAGGAGCAGGAGCAGCACCAGCACCAGCAGGAGCAGCAGCAGCAGCAGCAGGAGATGTAGTAGTAGTCGTCGTAGTCGTAGTCGTGGTAGTAGTAGTGGTAGGTTGTAGCAGTAGTTGCTGTCGTAGTTGTTTTGGTTTTTGTTGCTGTTGTGGTGGTGGGGTTGTTGTTGGTGGCGGCGGTTGTGGTTGCGGTTGCGGTTGCGGTTGTGGTGATGGTGGTGGCGGTTGTTGTTGTTGTGGTTGTGGTTGTCGTTGTTGTTGTTTTGGTGGGCAACCAAGAACACAAAATGCAGATAATGCAACGCCACTCGGGCAGCATATCTCGCACCACTGGCCCTTGCAAAAGGCTCCGTTGATGCCATGACAGTGCCCACCCGTTTTTATGTTGACCCATCCAAACCCATATCGTGGCAATGCCCCTCTGGACGCTCTCCCCTAGTGGCCGGCGAGCGCGCGGTACCCTGCATCAAGGGAAAATGTTTGATGCTTTCTATCCGCCTTTTGATGCCCCTCGTCAGACTGGGTGCGGGATGCGCGGCTCCGGGCTGGAATCGCTCCAAAGCTGAACAACAAACCCGGCAAACACCTTCCGCCGGAACACCGACAGCTTTGTCGAGTCCGGGAGTGGCTTCTAATGCAAGTGGTTCAATGGCCGCCTGGTGTGCAACTTCGACCAAGTCTGGAGCCTTTGCTTCACTCCTGCCAAAAGGACTTTACAAAAGATGGAGCGGAAGATGCAACTGAAGAATTAGTCTAAATAGTTTGCAAGGGTGAGTTCATGTGACTGAATATGATTGAATCAACCTGCAGGCGATGATGAAGAGTTTATTGGCTACAAGGTCGCTGACTCGGCATGTATGCTGCATGCTGCATGTATATGTATATATTATGCAGAAGGCACCATCGTATATATATATATATAACTGGCAGCGTCGTGATTTTTCCTGTGTATATATTTAATATAGACATATATAACAATATATATATATATACATGTCAGCTGTGCAGAGTTGTGCAGATAGAATGCTCTTTGCCACAATGCGTGCACAATGTGTATATATATATATGTATATATATAAAGATATGACACATATATATATATATACATACTGATCAGATTGTGTGAAGGAGCTTTCTCAATGGCTGCACGTGGGACCACTTCATTCAAGGACACATATTTGGTCCAGCGAGACGTTTCTAGACTACCTCGAGTTTCTAGGGCAGGAACTGCGTGCGAGGAGGCGCAAGCTGGGGTTGTCCTTGAAAGATGCCGCTTGCATCCTTTGTGACCATGCTACGCAGAGCTTCGACACAAATGTTCAAAAAAGAATCCTGACGGTCCCCAGTATACAAGAAAAATGAACACATGTCAACGAAACGGCCGAGGTTCGCGAAAGTGACGGCTGACCGACATCGCCCACCGCTACACCGGAGTCCCTCAACAAGAACACGCCGGCCCCGCTTCACTCACGCTCATCGGCCTAGATCGGGTCGATGGATTGTGGGGGGTCTAGATGCATTTGCCACTCTGGGCTGAGCCGAGTTCTGCAAGACCCTTGGTGTGAATGAATTGACCATCTCAATTTCCACCAGACTTCCGCGCACTTCGGAAACCGGAACGAATTCCAGGTCTTGGTCTTTTGCCTGACCATCCTCACCGTTTGGAGCGGCTGCTACTGTAAGCCCTTCAGCTGTCCGCACCGAAGCCCGGTCAGCGATGTCGGATCTGTGGGTCGGATTTCAACGAAGATGCCACGTGTGGGTCGGCTTGACTAATAAAGACCATTCAAAAAGACACATGTTCATGTAGTTGAATTACATGAAATCCAGTCCAATTTTAAGGATGGTCCTGGTATAGGGGTTCCGCACATTGTTGAGTACGACTGAGAAACGGCTAGGTTCAGGCAGGCGAACAGGCATAAATCTATATATATATAGTTCTAGTTTAAAACAATATACAAATATATTTCACAAAAATATAAACACAGTATACTAGAAGTCCAGTGGTTCAATTGCCTTCCATTGGTTCCAAGTCAGGTCTTGTCACGTGGATTCTGATTGGCTTGGGGTGCTCATGGATGACATTATTGAAATCCTAGGATTGTTTCACTAATTGCGTGAACATGTTGAGTTTAAGGGTTTTTCAGGGGTTTTTCATATTGAAGAACAACAGGAACCTGGGATTCGTGAGAGGTAACAGGTTTTTTTGTCCCCTAGTGGAGTCCCCTTTCGCAACTACAGGGACACCATGACACCAAATATCAGCGAAGTTGTTGATACCTGAGCATGATCACCTAGAACCTGAATAGTTCCCACTGATAATATGCATGTTTCCTATCAAAACAGGAGTCACATTATGAGTTCGTTCGGCATGTGTGAAGGACTGGGGTTTCTTGACTCATGGACCTCCACCAGCTCAGTGCCCAATGGATCGGGTTTTTGACAAGTTTCAACAGTTAGTGTTTTTCGTCTATTAGTTTCAACTGGCCTAGCCTGATCCATTGGGTGTGTATAGTAGTATGTTAATTCAGCGTTGTTTTCTTGACTTCCTGTCTGTATAAAATATGTTAAACCTGGTCTAACCCGATCTATTGGGTGGATATTTTGATTCAACCAGACCGTTCACACCCTTAGTCCCTTTGGTTTAGCCAAGGTTTATTACTACACCTCGAATCAAGCTTTTCACCCATCGGCCAAAGGACCAGGCAGGACACCCAAGAAGAACGGTTCCAAATGGCAGACCAACCCTCGCATACGAACCGCGGTTTTTTCACGGCCAACCCAAACCCATCATGGATAAGTGGAGTGAGTTCACCACCTGGGACCGGTCTGGACCGGATTGGTCCACCCAAATGGTCTTCTCATGCGGAACCAGACCGATGATGTCAGAAAAGGACCAGACTGACTTGTGAAGATCTTGTGAAGTTTTGGGAATCGCCCAGAACCCGCGGATTTCGACGGCCGAAGCCGAACCGTGGACACTCCAGATGGAGTGTCTCCCCGATCGACGCCCAACACGTTCACCTGGAGACCAAGTGACCGTGTTGTTTTCAAAGCAAAAAGGAACAGAATAGAGGACCTTTATGGGAGGGAAAAGGCTAGCAGGAAGGGTTTGGGTGTTGACCCACAGCCAAATGAGGTCTCATACTAACTACCCGGATCTTCCTCAGTTTGGGTGGTTGTCGAAGGTCAGCGTGGTGAAATTAAACCTCGATATAGATGGAGGTGTTTGGAATCGGTGGTGCCAGTATGTCTTTTTGGACTGGGTAAGTTTTCGAAGTAATCATCCAAGAACGAACGCCTGGTGTCTGGTCGTGGTCGCCGGTTTTTGGAAGCTCGCTTCGCCCGGCTTCTTGGTGAACGCGTCCGCTGCCCACCTCGATTGATCACCGTTGCCTCACCGTTGCCAGCGCAAAAGGCTCGACCTGTCGACCGAGGAATTTGCAATGCAGGCTTCGCACTTCTGTCAAGCACCACGGCTTGGTGTGGAGATGGTGATTCAATATCACGGCTTGGTGTGGCATCACCAGTTGGTAGACTTCGTCTTTATATATAGATCTTTTCGGGGTATGGGAAAAATAACTCCGTGCCGAAACAAAGTGACCCATCCCTGCTAGTTTGTTCGAAGTTATCAAGATGAATTACTTGTGAACAAGGATCGTTTAAGCACGAGAAGTCATGCTGTCTATTCGATCCTCTCTTTGGGGTTGGTTGGTCAGTGCGAGCTTGGTGTGTTGAGTGATCGGTGCTTTCCATGCGAACTTGCGGCTCTTTGTCAACATGGCTCTCTATTTGCTTTGAGGTGACCAGATCTTTGCAGGGTTTCCAGATCTTCCCTTGTGCTTGAAGACTGGTGCTGACCCGGTGCCAACAACATTCAGACTGGAATGTAGACGAGTCATGTTCCGGAACTAAGTCATGAACCTTTAAATAGAATCCAGTGTTGCATCACGTGCTTGCTTTTGGGGGGGCTGGATGTTCCTCTTGGTGTTCTGCTTTTGCTACAAAACATGTGCTAAACAGCTCAAGATGAGCCACATGGTGTTTCAGTTTCAATACACTCAAGATGAAACCCTCCCTTCCCAGTGAAGATCACTTGCTCCGTCAAATGATGGAACACCAATGTGGCCAAAATTCGGTGAAAACGCAGGAGAAAGGAAAACCAGATGCACTCTGAGGGCTATTGTGCAATCTCTCGGCGGTGTACACAGTTCAGGCCGCTGTGGGGGAACCTCTTTCAGTTGAGTAGTCGTGTGGAGGAACTTCCAGACTTACCTTTCCCCTACAATGACGAGGTCATAGTGTTCTAGAAAGATCTCCCAAACGGAAACAAGGCAGCTAGCGAGGTCGTCGGTTTTGGAGGTCAAAAAGAGCATGTTTGGTTTTGATGGGAGATGATCCCACGCAACCTGTCAGAAGGCAATGACACTGATGGTCATTTGTGGAACCTTGAAGTGTATCCTATGTACCCTCGCGATCTGCATATGCGAAACTTGCAACCATACTGACAAGACCGCGTGCGCCAAGTCCATGTGACAGGGTAGACAGAAGCTCACTAACAATGGAAGTGGAGTTCACCCCCTCATGGTAAAGCAGAGTAGTTGTGTCCCAGGCGCCATGTCATATGATTCTTTCAGGGAGTATAAGACGGTTCAACCATGTTCACGATTGTTTCACGTCCAAACGATCCTTCACACCTGGACATGGGTGGGAATCCTATGGCATGGGTGGGATCTCCATGTTTCAACACCGCAGACACCAGGACACGCAGACACCGCAGGCGCGGACCCGCAGGTCTTCCACAAGGAACGCCTTGACTGGATTGGTCGACCCGGAAAGCACCCGGTGCTGGTGCCCAACCACATCAGCATGCTGGAGGTGTGGTGGGGGCAACAAATCGCAGGTGGGAAAAAAGAACTTGCAGGTGTGGTGGTGCTGGAGAGACCGATTGCAGGTGGGATTGTTTGTTTACCATGTGTTGAAGTTGTAGATATGTCAAGGTAATGCAGGATTCATTGCATCAATGCGACGCCTTTTCCAGGTGGCTTTGACATTGTTCATGAACAATTGGGTAGCTGGACATGTGGCTCGCTATGCCAAAAACCGCTATGCCAGTAAGCATCTACATCCACTCATAGAGCTTCGCACACAGACTCCCTTTGTCCCATGCAAGTGACATCCGACGAGATGGTCCTGGTAACGAGGTCCTGCCGCTATATGGGGCGAACAGAGTCCGGCAAGGCCTTCTACTTGGAATACCTCACCTGGGGCATGTCAGGCTGTGTAGCGAAGAGTGTCTCGGCATGTCTCTGCGGTGGATGCCAGGGCCGTGTGGTGCTTGGGGGGTGGAGAGTGCCAGTGCCAGTGGTGACTTGCTTTTGGATTGTGAATGTACGGCAGTTCTTCACATGCTATCACACAGCTGGCAAACTGCTTGGTTTTGCGGTTTACCAGATGGCCATCGTCCTCCGGGGTTGCATGTTGGGTAAAACCACCTGCCAGCCAAACCAAGGGGCCAAGTTTAAAGCATAGAGGTGGTTTCAGCCATATAAAGGTGACCCAAACAAGCTTCTTCAGGGACAAAAGTTTGCCAAAACATGCAAAACACTTCAACCTCCCTGGAAATAGATCCATGGTGCAAGTGGATGGGCCGACACGGTCCACCGACTCTCGGAACGACCGTGACATCCGAAGACCAGCCCGTGTACGCGGAGCGCCGTAAGCGTACGCCGTGAGTGTCGGGAGAGTTCGGGAGTGACGACCACAGTGGAACTCTTCCAATGACAACCAATGACAAACAAGTTCCAACTGTTCCATCTCTCCCCCGGGGTATTCCCGGATAGCCTGTGACACTCTGGTCACATAGCCGAAACAAGTTCCGTTCATGGAAGATCATGGAACAACATGTCAATGTGTTTCTTGGATGTGGTTCTGAAACAAAGCAAGTTCTAGATGTTTGGTGTGATGTTGAACCACGGTCCAAAAGGACCTCCGGACTGGCCGGTTGAGATGACGCTTCCGCAGCATTGACACACGTTGGGTCGGTGAGGTCGAAGAAGAGGACCGTCCCGGTCGAACCGGAGGTTGAGCAAAAGAAAGACACCGAGATATTGCGGAATTGATTCAACATGTGAACAAATTCCATCAAATTCCATCAAATGAGAAACATGTGAACGTTAAAAAAAACAAAAAAACAAAAAACACCTGGGGTTGTGAAGGTATACACTGAGTTCCAGGTTTGTTTCCTCCTTTGATCCAGTCTGATACATATCAGTGCACCAACTGGAGTAGCATGCAGCAATCACCCGCTACTCGAGACATGGGAGGATGCCACTGACATAGTATCACCCAGACGCGACCCGTAGACGGGACTGCCAGTCCGGACGGGCCGAGCCGAACCGGCCAGGGGTGGTGTGTTTGGGGGGTCAATGTATACATTTCTTCCATACATGGAGTGCTTAGGTCATATGCCATCATTATCGGTCGCAACTTGTTTTTCCACAAGTCGCGCTATTAATCGCAACAGTTGCTCAAAGATGTTTGAAATCATCCTATCTTTACAAAAGCCAAAATTCGAGCTTTTGCTAAACCATCATATAGTTATTCATTATACTGTATCATTATTAGCACCATGAGACCATGAGCATGGACCCCAAAGAATTCTTCTGTGGGAGATGTTGCACCACCGTGTCAGTGTGTGAAATCCATACATATTCCCAGCACTGCTGTGGCGCGGGTCAAGAGAACTCTATGATCATCAGTATCCAGGACCTTCAAAGTGACCATCCTTGATATCCCAGGATGAGGTCACTTAAGCCCGTAAAGGGTCACAAACAAAGAACTCCAAAGAGGCCACGTACTGAATGTCCTCGATGATGGCCTAGACCCCAGACACGACCGATGGGACTCCCATTTTGTTCCGATCAGTTGGGATGGTGCCAGGGGGGTCAAGTGATCGGCTATGGCAGACATGGAGTGTTTTGGGACCAGCCTCTCCGAGGTCAGTTTGCCATCCCCGGGGTGCGCTCGGCCACGCAATTCAGCAACGCCGCGCCCAAGCGGCATGCAGGTTCACGTGCCGGGCGGGAGCAGGTGGTGATCAGTGGAAATTTAGTTTTTTGGAAGAGAGCAGGGGGGGTTGGTGAGAATGGGAGAAGTGCAAGATCGCGTGACCCACGTTTCCCTTGCACCTGGCGAGGTTGGCTGCCACCGTTCACGGGAACATGTCCTAGGATGGATTGCTCTTATCTTGTGTGTCCAACTGATTATAGGCTTGATGAGAGCAATCCATCCTAGGACAATCAGCAGGAGACTGTTCTCATTCACGGGAACATGTCCTTTTCTTCCTCATTTGATGGTCTTTCTGAGGGCCGACTTCTCCGCCGTTTGCTCAGGTGGCTGTGGACACCAAGGACAAAGATGTGAAACAGAAGGCGCGATGTGACGCGAAACAGGTGGCAGGGGGGAGGGCTTTTGTGGGTTCAGAGATGTTCTCTTTTGGGGGGTGTTCTTTTGTATTTGTGTGGAGTGAGTGAATATGTGGTGATGATGCATGCGGTGATGAGTACCCAGATTCTTCAACTTCTGAAATCTTTGTTGTGCATGAATCACGGACTTGCTTGCATGCAGAGTTGCGGGACTTAAGTCAACGGGATGACTGATGATACTTTCCAAACATGCTCCCTACATTTTCCTATTAAAAGTGGATCGCCTGAAAAACCTGGGAGACTTGGGGGCACCCCACTAAACGTTCAAACAAGAACAGGTGGAGTTCGCTCGGAGAACACATTGATTTTCCCCTGATCTTCGGATTTTCCGGCGTCAGGTTTGGTGAATTCCACCGTGTCAAACCTTTCGATACCCTGCATCACAATTGGTCTTTTAGCGGTCATGGCCACACGTCAGCGACGTCACAGGTGAACGAGGGCATCTTGAAGTTCGTCGCCTGGCGATAGCTGTGATGGTCGGATGATGGCTGATGCAAGGACTCCCCGATGCTCAGTTTCTTGTGCTTGGAAAAGACATTTCCATGACGTGTCCATGGTTGGTTTGGGGATTTTTCATCGTGTGGTTGGTAGAGAAGTGGTTGTTTGATGATGATTATGATGATGATGATGATGATGATGATGATGATGATGATGATGATGATGATGATGATGTGTTGAAGAGGCAAGTGGGTGTGACTGGGTGTCCATGTGTAGGGTTGACAGTTGATGCCATCCTTGTGTTTTTCTCAAGTTGATGGCCACCACACATTTCATATAATTTCATTATTTGGGATTCAAAAGCAATACATATAGTATACTTTCATGTTATAGACTGCTATGTGTCCTTGATCTCGAACACTTGACTTGAGCTTTCTTTTAACAGACTACTCCTCACCCGAATGCTTTGCCAGCTTCCTGAAGTGGCAGATTCTTATATTTGGTCACTGACGATGACAACCCAACGAAGCACATGCCTCAATCACCCCATCAACGAAACACATTAAAACCATCCAAGAACATCCAGCAAGAGATGTGTCCTTCCTCATCCATTCTCAAAGTCAATTGTTTTTGATAACCAAGGGTTTCCTCAAAACACGTAGGCAATCCATGAGACTATGCCTCTCTCATCCTATCTCTTGATCCCTTATCACCCAACGCGATTGATATTCCAATTCCCTGGGTTCGGGTGACCCACGTCAAGTTGTGGATACTACACTCGAGCTGAAACAATCATGCGCCAACGTGGATGGCATGGCCCCGACTTTCGGAGGACCATGTTCCGAAGAGCAAGTTACGGCGGTGTTCTTCACTCCTCTTCCATGTGATGTGTTCCCAGTGCAACTCATTTCTGAAAAAAGATCACGCACCGTCTATCCAGGTCCACAACGAGCCGGACGAGAAGGGCCGCTACCCCTGTGGTCGAGCCTTCGTGACTCGCCCGGAGCGACGCAGAACGACGACCGACGCGTCCGTGCGCACGGATGTGGATTCAGCGCTTCGCCCAAGGTGATCTACCCGGAAGGCATCACCAACAGCCAGCGAGGCCTCTTCCGTGGCTTGGTCATCCGGGTTCAACCGCGGCTTCACAAGTAGTTGAAGTGTTTTTTTTGCACTTTCTGGAATCATAATGGAAGTGTAGAGGAAAATGATCATCCAAAGGTCCACGTTGGCCCATGATGATTCCAGGGAGTGTAGATGCTGGTGACCTGCTGGTGAAGAGTTTCGACCGAAGACAGGGTTAGGTGTGGGACTTTTGAACATCTCCTTTCCCCAAAATGCATGTACTTGGCCCATTCGGTCGATGCTAAAGCCAAAAGCAAGGCCACACAGGACTGGATCTATAGTTGTACCTCTTGCCAAGTTGGTCCTTGTCTCCTCTCATTTGTACAATTAGCCATCGTTCTTCATGGTGAACATATGAGAACATGGACCCTGGGAATCATTGATAGTTTCACCCACCAATCCCTACCCTACCCACTCAGTGGATAACCACGCAAATGGTTCCCCATATAAGCAAAAGAACAGATAGAAATACAGTAGGTTAACTTGTTTTGCCAAAACATCTCAGGGAATCAGATAATCCCATGGGGCTGAAGCTGTCAGGGCACCTTCATTGGGCCCTCTGAGGTTTCAACACGGGCGCCTTTGCCACGGGTATGGCTGTGCAGCCGGTGGTGCAACGATTTCCGTACAAGTACATGATGCTCGGAAACCGTTGGCCGGATTGTTTTTGTGTGTTGTGTTTTCTTCATTGTTCATTCTAAAGTACTCTTAACTTAAGATATAGGCCGAATCAGCCAATGAAGCAAAAAGCAGAGATAAGAAGACGTTTTTGTTTGTGCTGCACCAACTCACCAGTTCAGCTATTGTTTCATGAAGCTAACGTGTGTTGACCAGTTCAGCCCAGGCAAAAATGACACTAAAAAGTTTTTTTTGTAATGAGCTTTGTCAGGTCTTCCTGGGAATCTTTGCACAAACATGATACTGTTCAAAAAAACAGATCGTGCCTTTGGTGCCCAGATCCGATCAGTGAACGTCCTTCCCAGGAATCCCGCGTGGGTGTCAGACTCGCGCATCTCCCGCGGGAACGACCTCCCATGGATGATGCTTAGAGCCTCGGAGGGATGCGGAGGGGATCCGGGAATGCTGTGGCAGCTGATGTGGGAGACTCATGCACCGAGCGGCGCTGGTAGCGCTGGTAGCCTTGTTGTATGTTTTTGGATGCTACGTCTTTTGCAGCCTAAGAATCGACCTAGTCAAACACATGCTGAGGTGATCTTGTGAGCTATAGAGTTCCCTATTTCGGGGGCTGGTAGATTTATTGATACACGCACACTGAAGGAACCAGGACCTTCAGTTCGTGACGTGTCTTTGAGATCGAAGTCACGACGAGTCTGGTCCCTCTTCAGAGGTCACGAAGAGGTCACCAACGGAAAGTCCTTGAAAACAGTGGTGCTTGATGAACCTTTCATGTGGCCCGGCTTTGATGTACTCGGATTGCTTAGGCATATTTTATATTCCCCATGAGCGAATCCCCTTTTGCATGGGGAATATATTGTTCTTTTGCACTGTAGGATGGCTTCTCTTTTGGAGACCACAGCTTCTTTGAGACCTTTTACCACGAAATGGAAGACCAGAGTGGACGATGTAGTGTTCATACTACGAAGAATAGCCTCGGAACAAGTGTAGGCCCTCATCCTCAGAAGGTAGGGAGTTTGTCCCTGGCACCCACCCCAACCTCCTTCCGAGGAGGTAGTTGGAGCACCAGGGATACATAATAATATATTCTAATACAACACATATAACACATTATGATGGTAACTTATTGACCTATCATTTTTCCCCACATCTCTGTGTGGGGTTCTTGTTTTTTGGCTGCCATCCCGCCCTTCTCCTCGTCCTCCTCGTCCTCCTCCTCGCCTCCTCTCACATCTCACACACACACACACAAATCACAACCTCCTCTCACATCTCACACACACACAAATCACAATTCATCCTCCTCGCCTCCTCTCACATCTCACACACACACACACAAATCACAATTCATCACAAATCGCCTCCTCTCACATCTCACACACACACAAATACAAATCACAAATACATCCGCAATGACTGCAGAAGGGGCTGCGGCGCGCGTTGTCGCCGCTGGGGGCCCGG